TAAGATACCACGAAAGCTATAAGTTTTTCAGTGAACTCGATGAACACAATCGGGATTGGAAAGAAAATGTGCTAAGACTAGAGCTATAACATTCTGATGCATGGCTTTGAGATTTTTGATGGGTCTGTTTGAAACACCAGATCGAAGTCACATCCTTTGATTTTTCTACAATCAGAGCTTAGTGGAAAGCTTTCAAGGTATAATTAGAAAGCGCATAACTTACATTTTCTATTTCGGTTCAACTTAATAGACTCAGCATAGTGACTTTCGTATTATATCAACAGGCCTGCCCAAACTACATTAATTGTTGCTTTTTGAATGATAAGTAAATTCTTTCATTGTAGGGTATGAACGGAGAACTGAAAAGGAAACTAGTAGAGATTCTGCTTTGCAGACACGCCACTCGCTCAAATCATGTCACTAGGGCAGCGCAAGAGAAACTGACGCATTGCCAACAAGCCCTAAAGCTCGACTCGGACTAACGACTGTTCTCTGCACTTTTTGCAAAACGGACTGTGTTCGTCAAATTTTTCGCAAGAACTTTTCCTAGCAGAACTCGATGTCGATTTCAAAAAGTGGCACACCCAATGATTAGGGTCATCACGTTAACGATTGACTGTAAAAGTTCTAAGGAAGCCGCCTATCGGCGATGTTTTTAGCAGGTTTCTTAGTTGGGATGTTAAGTAGCGCAAAGAAGAGTATGATATAGCCAGTACACTAAAAGTAATGCTACTAGTCATCTATTGCCGAATTAGCAGATTAGCTGTAAGTGAGACCAATGTGCGCAGAATTAGTAACCAGTGCCTTAGAAAAATAAAACATCCGCAGAGGTCTAAGGAGGAGGAAGGAACCAAAAAAAAATGCTGGAAGCTCTATATGCCCTAATTCTTACTGTTCGACACCATTTTCAATTCAGTTTAGAACATATAGCTTCAAAAAATAAGACTTTATGTGCGACATATTGACAACCGCTGGAGTACAGTATACTTATTGCCAGCTATCGTTCATCTTGGCATACACCCCTTAAAATGGATAGAATTTAAGGGTCATCTAAACATAATCTGTGATATTGCTTGAAAAAAAACCGTGGAAAATATTGCTGCACAGATCAGGAAGTACCCTTTGATTTTACTGGGTGTACGTCAAGAGGCGCGATTTTTATTGCCAGCTGGACACCAAATAGCACATAATAAGTGTTCTGCAACTTTCTAAAAGTATATGAAATTTAGAAGGAGATGTATTAGATAGTTGCATGAGTTGTTTAATCTTGATACTCTAGAAAAAATTCAAAACAGCAATTTTGAAGGTCAAAAACTCATGAAAATGCGTTTCAGAACAATTTCGTAAATATTTCAGTCCGATTTATAGCAAAAACCATGAAACTCAGCAACTGGTGACCTCAGGCAGATAGTAAGCTAGTGCACTTTATCCTGTAATTTTTTAAGGACTCGCATAGCACTAAACTGGAGTTTAAAGTTGGTGACAATCGGAGAAATCGCGCCTCTTGACCGTCTCCCGATTTTACTGGCTTGGCGGCTAGAAGGCGGGGTTTCGTGACCTAATTAAGGCTAAGTGATCAGCGAGCACGCCCGGGAGAGACGCAGACTGCGTCGCGGGCGCGAGCGGCGTTAATTAGGTCACAAAGCCCGCCTTTCAGTCGCCGAGCAAGTTGAATCAAAGCTTAACTGGACGTGAAAAGCCAAAAGTCGCTATTGAAGGTTTCCGTCGTTTATGTTCATGGCGACTACTACCAAAAATCAAAATTTTCATAGATCTTCTAGAAATTGCCAGAATGAAACGAGGGAGGGTACAATTCTATGAAAGATGAGAGACCGACTAAACATCTTCCTTTGTGGCTTTCCTGCCCACATCGCAAGGGCATTTTACATTGACATAGAATGAATCAACAACGATAAGGCGCCAGGCACGGATTATCAAATGCTCAAGAGAGGTCTGTAGCCGACAATATAGCCGCATCGCTTAGCAATTTTATCCCTTTAAAAAAAACTTATTCTTCTACATCTCCTAGAGGGGATCTGCTGAAAATGAGCGAGTGACCAATGAAATCAAGAAGAAAATTCTGCATATTAGGTTGCCAGAAAGTTGATTCGCGCCATTTTCAAAATTTCATAACATGTTTGTATGTCAATTATTTTGCACGCGTAATCTTTGAGAGAAAAAACTATGAGCCTTTTGATAGCTTGTAGATCGCTTCACAATAAGCACATATTGCGTACGTAGAAGCGCTAGAAGAAGAATAGTCAAATTGTGATTTTCCTGTGAGCATAAAATCTGAAACCTGTGGTAAAAATCGATGCATTCAATATCATGAGCCTCTCGCGCTGCTTCTTCTAAGCACAATCTGCGCTAATTAGATGCCTCTGTGAAAATTTATAATTTTTGGAAAAAAAAATTCCCAAAAAATCAAAATTGTATTTTTGACTGTTTGCTAAGAAATCATAACTATTCGCGAAAGTTTAATCAGCACAAACTTTGCGCGGTTAAAGGCAGGGGGTCAAGAAAGCTATAAATCTGTCCGATTTTTATTGAAAGTTTCAGATATTTTACAACCTTACGCATGAAAATCCAAATTTGAGCGGTCTCCCATTGTTTCTATCTACACAATGTGTGCGCCTGGAGGTGTGCTACAAGCAACTATCTACAAAATTCTGACATGATTTCATCCTCCAAATAAAATCAAGTGCAGAACTTTTGTGCTAACCTGATATCATCTATTTCATAATTAGAAGACGCGAGACGCATTGCGGACATCGTCTTAACAGGTTTGGTTTGTTCTTCCCTGTTTCCAAAGAGTGAGTAAACCTGGACGAGATAAATAACAAGTATAAACCTGCTAAGTACACGATTAGGCTTGAACAATGTGTGCAATGCGGTCTCGCGTCTTCTGGTCGTAGAATGAATGATACTTGCGGAGAGTAAATCCGGAAAACAAAAGAGTTGCTTTTAGAAATCATACAGCAACTTTGGTGCACCTTTGATATATTTGGCAACTCAACATTCGATGGGCATGGGTAAGGCAGGGAAAGGAAAGGATCTTGTGGTCATGAAACTACACAGAATAGGGGCGTGGCTAAGTCAAAATTTCTTTCCGGGGGATGCTGTAGCTGAAAATATTTTTTACAGAGCTAATTTAGCTTTAAAAATTGGATAAAATTGTCTAAGTTAGTAAATTAGAAAAAAAATTTGCAGAATTTCTCCTATGCAAACTACTCCAGAAATTTTTCCATTCTCGATAAAATCTTACAGTTTCAAACGTCGTCGATGAGAATTTGGAGCATCTTTTCTAGCTTTTTTCTTTGCATCTTAAACCTTCTAACCTGTACAGCTGCATCAGCAAGCAATCTACATCGAAATCAACACCCGGCCATTATTCACCCTATTGAGTTTTTTCTGCAACATCGCTCGTAAAAAGCCATATTTTACGCAAATGCACTGGGCATTGCACAATTGGACAGCTGCTGTGGATAAAAACAGAATTTGCTGCTATCGCGAGGTGTAACATCTGTGAAAAAAAGCGCGTCAAATAGATTGCATTGAGGGTAAAAAGAAATGAAAGATGGGAAAAAGTAATAAGGGTTGTACCTTTTATGGTTGGATGAAGGAAAGGAAGAAATCACGGAGGGATGGTAGAGAGGAAGATAAAGACCTTCATATGCAATTATAACGATAGCCTTCACGCAAATTATCAAAAAAATAGTGTAGTTTACAAATAAGCGATAACTAAGACATAAAAAAACGAAAGACAATTTTGAAAAAAATTTCCAAAAAATAAACTCACAAATGGACAACCAGCACACATGGTCAAGAGCGAGTTCCCATTGGCTTTACTGCCTTTGTGGGGTTCCCCACAATTTGTTAAGGATGGCTCACGACATGTGGTGATTTTTTACGAACTCGTAGCTGTGGCACGGTGCATAATTTAGGTGTGAACGAAGTCAAGGTCCCACCGACAGACAAAAGCCATATTGTGCAGATGCGCGACATCGGAGTACAGTACCCCAGATGCGTGAGAATTTGAGTCATCCATAAATTCGAAGAGGACCAATGTATTCTTGGGACGTACTGAACATTATCTCCATATCAAAAGAAGTTCGCTCAGATATGTACAAAAAGTTCGACGCTACAATTTTCAGAGTGGAGCAGAGTTTAGAAGAATAGCGCAGTCTCTCAACCTAACGGTGTACAGTCGGGTAAAATCCCTAGCTAATGTGTGCAATTGCACATCCCAGAATAGATCTCGTAGGGCCCATGCTTTGTTTTGATTGATCTGTTAATTGACCAGTTGAGGTTGAAGACGCATTGATGACTACAATCCATAGCCGTCCTCGTCCTAGCAGACGCTCGTGGGCGATTTTGAATTTGAACTGGAGCAGCCCGTTCGCGGTAGAGCACGGCACCACCAATCGCAGAAAACCGGTAGATGGTGTCATGCTCTACCGCAACCCATCTGTCCCAATTCGAATTCAAAATCTTCAACCCGATGTCTACTAGGAAAATGACGACTATATGCACTTCTTACCTGTAAGGCACGCACCATACTTGATCCGCTTAATCCACTTGATCTGCTTGGTCCGCTTCGCTATTGGTCAGTTTACTGAGTTGACCAATGGCGAAGTGGATCAAGCGGATCAAGTGGATTAAGCGGATCAAGTATGGCGGGTGCCTAAAGTGCCTCAACAAGAAAATACGGTAACATGTGCAATTGCACCATTACCAGAGAAACGTACCCAACTGTAGGATATGGTTCGATGGATTTGTTAGCAGACATTTTCGGTAAGCCTGACGGTGCCTTTGGTGAAGAAAATAGCACTCAATTTTTATTAAGTTTTAGCACAATCGAGGTATATTGGAATGATACAATCATGTGACACACACGGTAATATAACAACACTTATAAAAACAAGCATGGATCACTGACTAAACACTTTTGAGCAGGAAGAAATGCTAAATTGTTACCAAAAAACAAAAAAAAATGATGGGATTTTCAAAACTAATGTCTCTTATCGCGTAACCTTTAAAGTGAGCAATGATAAAATCAAGAAAAACATATATTGTTCATCAAAAGCATAGGAAAAATATGTTTTAGGAGTTACCCATTGAATCAAAAAGACCAGGACAACAACAGAATCTATGTTTTCTTCATGTTAAACTACTATATCAGTCATACTGATAGCCAGTGATCCCCCATGGCTGCATATCAGTGCATAGATGGCATGAATCCACAATACAGTTCATTAAAATTAGGTAAAACCAATCAGCTGAGATATGGCAAATGGGATCTAAAACAACAACGAAAGCCCTAAGTTAAACATTCTACACATGGCTGTCAAATCTCCGTAATTTTCACCATAAATCTCGATTATGCTGTATAATTCTCCAGTTAAACTCAGATAAAACGAAACAACACTACATCAACAATCATCGTAACTAAAATGAGATTATGTTTCAGATACTTTTCACCTTCTCCACCTCATTGAATTTCTCAATGGCCAGCCATTCAACACCACCCCAACGGCGTTGAATATAGAAGAAGATCATACTTGAGAACATTGCAAATGAACACATGTAGGGTATCTGCAAAATATATGCAAACCAATCCAGCCAAAATTTATTCAAAGGCAGCAAGAAAACTATACTACCGAACAAAAATTGGAAAGAAATCGTTGAAAAAATTCAAAGTTATGGAAGAAATTCATTCCCTTCAAAATCTATCTTACCTTTGCAAATCCGTACATCCACATGATAGTTGTCGCGATCCAAAATACGTTAATAATGACTTGCGCAATGAAAGTCTGGGTGCTCGGCTGTAAGAAAATTGCAGGCATAAAAGCAAATGAGAAAAATGAGGTTAAAATTAAATACAAAAGAAAGATAATAGAGCAGACCTCATAATCTTTCCCATTAGGGGTGTTGTCAAATTCTCTAGACTTAGGATCCATCAAATAAAACCTTCGCAATTTTTCCTCCTTTTCTTTCCATAGGTTTATCAACCATTGACTCAAACCTTTATCATCTTCAGGCAGGTCGCTGATCTTGATTTTGCGAACCTGAAAAACAAATCCTGCAATAAAAAGTCTAAAAAAAGACTGTTTATGACCTGATAGTGCACATCTTTCGGACAAACACCATAGGCGGCAAAATGCACTTCCGATTGGACTATACAGTCATTGTAGCCAATAGTTACATCATAGATGCTGTCAATATAACCAGCTGGAAAGAAATTTCACCAATCTCACGACTCTGAGTTAGATTTATCTAGCTTTATCCCAATTTCTGACCTCTTCTCATATTTTGGATCATGTGCACAAATCCGGTGGTGCGAGGGTGCAGCACATATTCATAATGTACCAATTCATTCTTCTCAGCATATTTTCTACTTCGTTCCGTTGCCAGAGGACATTTGTCAGTGCCTTCGGGATAAAACAGAATCTGCAATTTAAATGAGGAAATGTGCTCATATGGCGTCAGAATTGTATGCCATTATTTTATATAGTGAATAATCAGAAGCGTTTCAATTCTGGTGCAAGCGTGAATTTTTTCAAGATTATGGGTTGTTTCAAAATAAAATTTGATTGATTAGGGTTGATCATCTAACAAGGCTATACATATTCACGCTCTTTAGCCAACATAATTGCACTAACTCCTCTAATATAACAATAAGATGATAAAGAGTGAATCTATAGGGTCCGATCCACATCCACTATCAAGTTCCACTTCTTTCAGTTGCCTTCACGATTTTCATTTTGGTTTACTTGGGCACAAATTACCTGATAGTTGAAGCCACATCGTGCATAATAGTCAAGGATGTTGTTTAGTCGCGTTTCGTCAGTATCAAAAGATCTGTCGAGATAGATGTACGAATTGCAAGCCATTGCCCATCCTAAATCAGAATCATCTTCAGAAGTTTGCACATTGTCGAATTTTGAATACTCTTTACATTGGAACCAGCGCCTTATTGAACGAAAGCTTGTATCTTCGTCAAATCAACGTTTTACCAGACTTTGTAAGAATTTACGAATGCTATTACCCATGTTTACCCTTCTATTGCCTTTCTATGGCAATTCCTCCATTCCATTGCGCACCCAAGGCGAACGCAAATACGTGCGCTCCGATATGAATTTCCTGACCGCCCCAATTCAAATCATTCGCGCGGGAATGTGAACGTGCGGGAAAGGCGCATCACGTTCATTCGTCGTTGCTCTTCTCTCCTTTTCTACTTTTCACACATCTTTATCATTCTTCAACGATCAATGTGAATGTTTTTTTCATAGAATTGTTATGTTCAACGATTTCTTCTACAAAGAAGGAAGCTGGTTTTGAGTGGCAGGGTTGGAATTTTGAATGAGCAGAATTTCAGGTATTTACACAATAGAAATGGCGTTCAACAAGGAAGGAATGGACTATGATAAGCATAAAGCTGCGATTCGAGATTTCATTGACACATATTATGGAACTGATGAGAACGGACAAAAGGTAGATCATTAAGATATTGCTTCTTTTTTACGTAAAGCTGAGAAAGTTTTCTCCTTATCAGAAACAACTTGAATGGAATTTGCTGTTTGAACACTATGCAGAAGTGCAGATAGATAATATCGAAAACAAATACAATTGATGAAATGACCTCAAATGATAATTAGCATGAAAGAAGTTTGCTGTTTAACGCTTCGAAGAGAGATGAAGGATGTTAAGCATAGGAGAAACTTGACAACTTGATTTCAAACACATTTCAAAAGCAAAAAACATGCCCACATGACATTTTGAACAATTTTGAGGTGTTCTACTATCGCGAAGACATTCAACGAATAGCCGAACGTGAACAAGTTGCTCTCTATGTCAATCTCGACGATGTCAATCGTTTTGATGAGTCCCTGGGCGCTTTGATAGAAGGAAATGCAAGGCGATTCCATCAGATCTTCAATGAAGTCATTGATGAAATGGTGCAAGAAGTTTTAGGAGATCGACAGGTAAGCTGAGAAAAACTGAAAATGTTGTTATTACCATCTCCATTTTAGCCTCCAATTCGTGATGCACTCGACGCCTTTATCTTCCAAAGAGTTTACATGGACGATCAGTCAAAAATTGCTGACGGATATCTGGGTGGAACAATCCAAGAAGCCCGTAAAAAGTATCCTCCACAGCTGCTGCGACGCTTGTGAGTAACTTGGAATTCAAATGGAAGACTTAGAGACCATCACTGCTTTTCAGCGAGGTCATCTTCAAAAATCGCGATTCCATGAAACCTCTTCCTGTCCGTGACATCAAGGTAGCTTAGAAAATTGAATTTCTATGCACATCTCATTTGATTTTTTTATCCAATCACTAAACTCACTGCATGAATCCAATACATCTATGTTTCCAGGCCAACTGTGTGGGGAAACTCGTTACTGTCACTGGAATAGTGATTCGAGCTACAGAAATCAAACCCATCGTGGAGGTTATGACCTACGCTTGCGATACCTGTGGAGCTGAAGTCTACCAACCGGTATGTTTTAAGAACGTTATTGAAATGTAATAGACTTAGCAGTTCTTCCTGAATCTTTTTCTCGAAAGTGCCAAACGCTTACAGGTGAACGGACCATCATTCATGCCAGCGGTGAACTGTCCAAGCAAGGACTGTGTAGAGTCGAAAGCAAATGGGCGCTTGCATATGCAAGTAAGGGGCTCGAAATTCGGCAAATTCCAAGAGATCAAGATCCAAGAGACGGTCGGTCATCGTTCTTACTCAAAAGTACTGCTCCATATAAGGATGAATTCAGAGTGATCAAGTTCCTGTGGGTTCGATTCCACGCACACTTACGGTCAATATCTACGGTGAATCTACACGTCAATGTGGACCAGGGGATCACGTTCGTATCTCTGGTGTTTTGATTCCCTTGATGAAAACAGGATTCCGCCAAGGTGGAGGCGGTCTCGTTGCAGAACCTTACCTAGAAGCACATGTGAGTTGTTCACACCATTTGTGCATTCCCTCTGTTTATCAATCTCATTCTTCAGTTTGTCGAGAACATCCGAAATAGTGTCGACGAAAGAGACACTGAAGAAGATGACCTCACCGAGGAGGAAGTGGAACTCCTCTCGCAAGACAATCTCTACGATATGCTTGCTTATTCCATCGCTCCAGAGATTTATGGCATGGCAGACGTGAAGAAGAGTTTACTGTTAGCCCTTGTTGGAGGTGTTGATAAGAACGCTTCTGGGATGAAGATCAGAGGTTAGTCACGTTGAACTCCTTCAGAGATCTCCTCAACTTGTGATTGTTTAGGCTGCATCAATGTGCTACTAATGGGAGATCCAGGAGTAGCTAAATCTCAGCTGCTATCGTATGTAAGTCGTCTTGCTCCTCGATCTCAGTACACTACTGGACGTGGATCCTCTGGTTCGTTGCCCACTTTTACAAAGGACTTTCAAATTGAATCTCCTTCTGTCAAACCGTAACTATCTATAGGCGTTGGTTTGACTGCTGCCGTTGTCAAGGATCCCCACACGGGTGAGATGACACTCGAAGGTGGAGCTTTGGTAAGTACGCTGAGCTTATGAAGAGCTTTTGATCCAAAAATGCGGAAGTTTAGGTGCTCGCTGATCGTGGAATCTGCTGCATCGATGAATTTGACAAGATGATGGAGAGCGATAGAACATCGATCCATGAGGTTAGTCGAAATCCACGGTTTTCAAATTCTTGCATCTTGTACTTGGGCGATCATATTTTATCCCTTTGGTTGTTTTCTACGATCCGAGCTTTTTGATCTTCAGGTTATGGAACAGCAAACTATCTCCATTGCAAAAGCGGGCATTATGACCACGCTGAATGCTCGAGTTGCTATCGTGGCGGCTGCCAATCCTGCTTTTGGAAGGTTCGTTTTCGAATATGAATAAGAACAATAAAGAAAAATTTCCCTTCCAGATACAACCCTAAGAGATCCATTGAACAAAATATCGACCTTCCCGCTGCTCTCCTTTCGAGGTATAACTAGATACGATGCATTTCTTTCACCACTTCTCACTGCTGACTGAAATGTTTTTCAGATTTGACATCCTTTGGCTGATCCAAGATAAACCAGACAGAGATGCCGACAAGCGTCTTGCTGCTCACATAACCTATGTACATATGAACTCTAAACAACCCGAGATCGAAGGAATCAAGCCGATCGACATGAAACTAATCCGGTTTGTTGGGATAGCCGACATAGAGGTGCCCTATGTCCCTATAAATGTCTTTCAGACGCCTTATCGAAGTAGCGCAGCGAAAGCAACCAGTGGTAGGAGATACACTGCGTGAGAGGTAAATTAGCAATTTCCATTCTATCTTGGAGTGAAAAGAACTATAAACCTTGCTTTCAGACTCGTTGAGATGTATGTGGATATGCGCCGAGCAGCTCGGGAAAGCGATGATTCAACTTTCACATCGCCTCGCCTTCTGCTTTCTGTGATCAGGTACTTATTTCTTTCGCTATCTGAACTTGCTCTGTATTTTGCGATGCTTAATAATAACCCACATTCCAGAATGTCTACTGCCTTGGCTCGTTTACGCCTTTCCAACGTTGTTCTGCCTGGAGACATTGAGGAAGCTATTCGTCTGATGCAAGCAAGCAAAGACTCTCTACGTCCTGGAGTCATGGAACAAGAAATGTACGTCCAAAAATTTAACTTCACTTTTTATTCCCTCTCCTACCTCACCATTTTAGTCGCCAATCGCCAGTTGATCGCGCATTTGCGGTTCTTCGAGATCTCAACTCCGCAAGTGGTGACTCTGTGATCCCACTCCAGGCAGCTATCGAAGCGTAAGTATCATTGACTCAGATCACTACTATCAGATATCACTTCTTCTATAGGTGTGCTCGCAAAGGAATAAGCGAAGAAGCACTTCGAGATGCCGTTAGTGTTCATCAGTCAAATGGTGTGATTATGGTCGACGGACAGCAGAGAATTCGTTTCGTTATGAACTAATGGTTCCCACATCACATTCGCTGCATTTGATTTGTCATTTTCTCATTCTCTAATTCCGATGATACAGATGATCTCGATTCAACAACTACATACCCACTGAATTTGAAGTTTTCGCTAAGTTCACTAGCACTCTTAACAATCATGTGCCTGTTCAGTCCACACTGAGAGCAATCCCTGTTACAACTGGAGACAAGATAAATTTTGTGAATACGCTTTATAGATGACGTGAATGCGAAAAGTAGACAGGAGTTCCTCACTAAATGCTTTTAGAAATTTGTCAATCGCTTCATTTGACGAAAGCGGTATTTTTCGACAAACCGCAGCGCTGAATATGTGGAGTCCCGCAAGATGCATATTGCTGTTATTTGTTGAAGGTCTGTGAGGAAGGTAGAGATGGTAAAAGATATATGCCATCATAAGAGGATCAAAAAGGACGAATTATATCCAAAAAGTGAAGCCGACGAGGACACGGTGTATAAGTATAACTAATGTGAAGACAATAGACCATCAGGAAATATATAACCTGTACTAGCCATACTTGATGTGCTAAAAGGATTTTATTACTTGCCTAAAAGATAAATTTCCAAAGCTTGACTAGCTTTTTCAACAGTGAGTTTGCAGTCTAGTCACTTTCCAAAGTCCACTCCAAAAAACCTCACCTGCTCCAGGCACATACTTGAGTATGCCTTTCAGTACAATTTTCTCAGATGTACATAACCACGGGTCCATTTTGAAAAGTGCATTCCAAAAGTATAACCAGTCCAATCTAAAGTGACTGCGCAGCGATTGATGACCATTGTAAAATCTATCGTACCTTGATCTATGATTCATTATCATAACAGCTGGCTTGCTATGATCAATCATATCGCCACGAACATGTATTTTAGCACCAAATACGTAACTCATAAGAGACTGGAAGAAGATTAAATCATTTTTTTTCAGAGGACATGAGTTCTTTTTGGAATAAACCAAGGGAGAGGGAAGCGAGAGTCTCGCTACCCGTCAACATCAAAAAATTATGCTCTAATTCTTAGATCTTTTTTAACAAATGAAAGTGCTAATAATCATCATTTCAGAAAGCTCGCGTCAAGTTTCGTCGGATCTTTACCAGATCAATTTGTTGTATGAATTTTGCGACTACCGCATATTCTTATCTTTGAAGTTCATGGTGAATACACGGTAAGGGCTCATCGCAAAGTTAGCAAAAACACTTCTACTGCAAAAAAAATGTCTAAAGTAATGCTCGAATCAGAACTTACTCCTGGCATGACTACCCATATTCCAATCAATCGATCCATACATTTGCGCCACATTTTAGGATTAATAAATATGAGCGGAAGTAGTGGCGTGATTATGTAAATGGAGCCTGGAAAACTAAATAAGTGCCAGAATAATATAACCTCAAAGAACTATTTTACCTAACAAAGCAGAGATCAGTGTAAAAGCACAGAATGACCATCCCCGTAGACGTACCCAAAGTGGCTGCCCAGCAGCCAGTACAGGAGGCTCACCAGCTCCCATTCCTAAAGCTCTTGAACAATGAACGCTTTGATAGCGATATATTTCACAACTATGTTTCCGGTAAATGTAAAATTGGAGTAATTGGTGGATAAAAAATCAAAACGAGCGCACATGTCGCAAAAATGTAGCAATGCAGAAAAAAAGCAGTTGCCAAAGATCATCTTCATTGATGTGCTGACTCAACGAACTTGTGTTCGGCTTCTTCCACTGTGCGGGCATGCGTCGAACGCACTCTAATTCATAGCTGAAGAGGCTACTGAATGTGTGCAAGCCATTACAGTGACTTGTGGGGGCCAACCAAACTACCAATCCGTACTTTAATCTTCCCAGATTATACTGGCTAATTTACCGGTCCCGGAGGGTAGAGGCAGTTGGCCCAAGGCAGAATTGAATACCACTACGCCACTCCGCCATGTGTTCCTTGTTGTCACCTTCAAACACGAGTGCGTTGAAGCAGTCCGTAGAGTTCTTCGTTCATGACTTTCGTAACCGAAAAGCCGGCAGCATAAGATTCCTTCAAAGTACGCCACTACTGCGCCCCAGCCGCGGTGACAGAGAGAAGTGGCCCTTAGGCCTCGGGCATACTTCACGCGATTTCAATCACGCGATTTGACAATTGACCAGATGTCTTCAAATGCAACACTTGCAGACTACATATACATGGGTGTAGAACATTCGCAGGCTGTTGAAAGCCCTTTCTTCTGTACATTTAGAATGCCCCTACGATGAGACGAAGAATTAAAGAATTGCCAATCGCGTCGCGACTGAAATCGGTGAAATATGCCCGACACCTTGGGCACGCGCCATACTTGGTCTGCTTTACCCAACTGATCCACTTAATCCGCTTCGCTATTGGTCAAATCAGTGAGCTGACCAATAGCGAAGCGGATGTCCACTTAATCCACTTGATCCACTTCGCTATTGGCCAACTCAGTGATTTATACCGAAGTGGACGAAGTGGATCAAGTAGATCAAATACGGCGTGTGTATTGGGGTTCATTCACACTGTCAAATGACAGTAAGCGCCGCGTCCTGCTGAAGCAGGCAATCAGTTAGTCGTCTGGCGCCTACCTACCTAGCCGAACGCCCTGCATCAGCAGTATGCGGCGCAACTTTTAAACTGATATCATTCGGCGTCACGTTGGATAAAAGCCGTAGTGGCGTCTGCGATGTCCGCAGCAATAGTATTTTTGGAAAAATGATAAAAAACATCGCGGTATGAGAAAATGATAAAAAGGCTTTACCATCAAAAAATGTTGTTGTAGCGAAATCGCATACACGGACCTGATTTTCCTCCAACTTGACTACTGATAACAGCGCTACGCCTCATCCTGCTGAAGCAGGACGATCGCTTAGTCTGGCGCCTATGGCACGCGCCATACTTGATCCGCTTAATCCACTTGATCCACTTTGTCATTGGTCGATGCAACGAATCGAGCAATAGCGAAGCGGTTGTCCGCTTGATCCACTTCACTATTGGTCAGTTCACTGAATTGACCATTGATGAAGCGGATCAAGTGGATTAAGCGGATCAAGTATGGCGCGTGCCTATCGTCAATTCGTTGACCGCACGGACTGCTCAAAGCTGCGGCCACGCGCGGCACGGCTAACATGTCGCGAGAGCACGACTTGTACAATGGCGGATTTGTGCTGGGGCAAGCGTTTTACCTCGCGGCGCGTGCTCCGCAGTGATGTCCAGTCCGTGCGGTCAACGAATCATCTATACCTTGCAGTGGCGGTATTTCGGACCGGGGGGGGGGTGGAGGGCGCGACAAAATTTTATTTTAAATGAAGGTGCGTGGCGTCAGCCACGCACTCCGAAAAAATTTTTGGGGTGCTTCTCAAAATTTTTGCGGGTACGCCTCCGAAAAATTTTTTTTATAAAGCTAATTTGAATTTTTAAAAAATTTTAAAAATTATTTTATTTACTTACAAAAATAAACATGTCGTTTGCACATTTCTATAACCCATATAGGTAATTTTCAAAAATTTCTCGGACCGCCACTGATACCTTACTATACCAAAGCAAACGCCATTGTACAATTGTACTCCAATGACATTTCAGCAGCGCCGCGGGTGCTCCACAATCTTTGGCCATTCGTACGGTTTACGACTTGGCAATAGAAGTCAAAATAATCATGTCTCTTCGTTATTTTCTGCTGCAAAGGGGCTGAGCTAATTTAAGAAACTAGTGATCAACAACACGTGCACCAAACATGATAAGGCGGTGTTCATGTACTTTCTGAGTGAATGACATGCTTAAATGCCTGCAATTTGTAGCTGTGTGCCATAATGTAATGCTACAAAAAATGCTGCAGGACGTAACCTAGCACACGCAAAACGATGCTTGTTCTAGATATTTATCGAATACTTTAGATGGACGTTACTATGAAATTCATGGCCGCACTTTTCGATACTCATGCATTTCTCGTGATGCAGGAGCGCCGATTTACATACACTCGTACATTTGATACTTCCTAGTTTGAATGATTATCCTAAAGTGGTAAGTCCAGTCTAGAGCCACTTGATATAATGTTCTCACGGTGACGATATATACGCGAAAACAAATGCGTGCTGTATGCTAAAAAATTGCCTCACCTAAGCGCAAAAAAAGGTCATAGACTGCCATTGTTTACGCGCAAGTGTTGTCGACAACGTAAAAACACCATATTGCGCCTTGAATCCGACAAGGGTACAAGGTTAAGCAATAATGCGTTCGCAGACATCATACAGAACAAGAATCTTGGACATAAATCTTGGAGAGAGGAAAAGAATAAACAACAGAAGAAGACACCTGGTCAGAGCCATCTGTCTGAATGAAAAGCAAAGTACAGAAACAACCTCGAGGTTAAAACAAGCAAAAACACCTTTGGAAAGGTTTTCCCTTGCTAAATTCAACAAGCAGAAATTGTAAACCATGGTTTTGCTCACAGCATTCAAAAACATATGGCTTGATGAGACAGCACTGACGATCGACGAACGGCAGTGAGTCACACTCTCAGCAATAAAACAACAGCGCAATAGATTTAGTTACCACGTAGACCTAATGACTCTTCCAAATGCTAATAGCATAACTGCCGTTCGTCGATCGTCATAAAGACGATTGGCTGTCAGCGAGATCTTTCAAATGTGCTGATAAAAGTTGAAAATAGGGGAAACAAGGCCTACAGTTAATTTCTTATCAAGTATTAAAAATTAGACAACATTCAATAGATTGTACACAGCAAAGACAAGGCGAAAATCGAAAAAAGCGTTTTACAAAAACTCTGTGCTGAAAAAAGTTCACTAACAGTGCGCTCTGTTATGCAACAACAAATGTTGTTTCGGCATCTTTTTTTTCTCGCCTTAATCAAGGCAATGCAAATCGCATGCCATCTAGCGCTTTTATGTGACAAAAGTTTTTGAGAAAAACCAATTACAGCGAAATATGGACTCGTTTAAGGTGAAGCTTGATATCATCGACAATTGCAAGAAGCGCACCTTTCATGTGAACGAAAACCACCCCTTTTCTACACTACCGCACGTTTGTTACAGACGGGTAAAACTGGCCACTATCTACATAAACGTCGCCAGCCAAGCTAAAAAAAAAAAGAAAAGAAAACAGTGTGATGTTTATGTTAGCAATGTTGACTGGAACATCTGATCATAGAATGGAAAAATGAAAATGCACATGAATGGAAAAAAATACTGACCAGAAAAACTGTCTTGTCATAAGCAGGTAGATGAGCCAATAAAGCAAATTACAACTACGAAAGAGCTTACCCTACCCATAGCCACGCCCTTGTGTTGATACTGCCCGCCTCCTTCACAACCTCCGCCTCGAATTTTGAGATGTTCGCCTAAGGCACCCGCCATACTTGATCTGCTTGATCCGCTTCGTGCAGAACGCGCGCACTCAGCAGTCTGTCATTTGGCGCCGCGTAGGTAAAAAGTAATACCGTATAGTTAAGCAAATTCGCTGTACGCGACGCCAAATGACAGACTGCTGAGTGCGCGCATTTTGCACGAAGCGGATCAAGCGGATCAAGTGGATTAAGCGGATCAAGAGGATCAAGTATGGCGGGTGCCTAAGTTACGCTTCTCGCAGCTTTTCAGCGCCGCAAATCGAAGCACCCTCATTTGCAGCATGGGTCGATGAGACTGCATAGAATGTATAGCAGATTGCGTGCATAAATTTCTAGGCACATCCCTGACAATTGCTCGTGAGAAAAAAAAAGATATTTGATCTTTGAGGCGGACGAAAAAGACACTTGTAGGTACTTGAAAGTTTTTTTAGCGGGTTTTCTCTGGGAGCTGCCACTGGAAAAGGCATAAAAACTATTCTTTACAATTATCCAAGATTGGTAAAGAAAATGGGGTCAGCTAGACCTAATTTTATAACCGCTCCATTCCGCGGTTTCGACTCAAACTGAAGAAATTATGGGGAAAGTTAGTTACTCACTTGTTTTGAGAGGAATTTGTCATACTATTTTTTTTGCTCTGGCTTTTATGACAAAATTTGTGTTTTAATGACATCTGTAATAATGCTTGCCATTCCGAGACTTACGACCGAAAAGATAGCGTTCCAATTGCAGAGCAATCAACACTGGATTGCAATCGGACCTTTTTGCCTTTCGCAGAAGGCACAATGACTGGCAGATCTATCGATGGAGAACGGTCTAGTCGATCGCAGAAGGGGCGGCCCAACGTCTTTAGAAGTTACAGTGTAATTTCTTTCTCTGTCGAATTCTGTTAGAGAAAGAAAACTATACACACTATAACCTCTAAAGACCGCTTTCCTTGCTATGCAAAGATACATGGAAGATATTTGATGAACAGAAGTAACAAATTCAGCAAAATGAAACATGAAACGGGAAAGAAAACACTGCCCTGCCCACAGCAAAAATCATCCATGTAAGATGAGCAAAGTGCGACAAATGACGTGCGTTGCAGCGACCACCTCCGCACAAAAGTGCAAAGTGCTTTGTTTACAAAAACATGTTTCCAATTATACGGGTTCGACCATCAAAAATCGCTAGTGCAAAAGTACTGTGAAAAAAAGTAATAATAGATGTGCAAAAAATGCCACGGACAAAACCACAGAAAAAACTAGAAGTAGAAGGAACAAATCTTTATGTGACTATTTTAAACACTGGTAAGAGATACAATGACAGTCTGAGAAGTATATCTTCTGTACATGACTAGTTTAGCTGTTATAAGAGGAGAATCACAACCACGCGAGACACAATTTTAGATCAGAGGTTGTTAGGCTTCACTGGCATAAAACGACGCAAAACGTCTCCATGAGAATAAAACCAAGATGCATATGCGTCAACACTAGTATATCTCAACTAACAAAGGTTCCCTAACAAGGTCAGCGCTAAACTCTGATAAAATCGAATATCTAGCGTAGACAGAAAGACGGCACTACCACAAAAAGATGGCACACAGATTGTACAAAGATGTCAAGTGTATGTAACCGTACTCGAACAGTTTACCTAGAAAAACATTCAAAGTGATGGCTTGACTGGCTTATTTCTCGCCTTAAACCATTTCATGACTAAAAATTCAATTCCATTATATTTGCGAAGAACGTAACAATAAAAGATGGAAACGACTAAGATATACAAGCGAATCAAGTTATATGAATAGATAGAATGCAACCACATAGCTGTCACCATTATCCAAAAACCAAACGCTATGTAGTAGCCGAGACCTTGAGTTTTTACCTGAAAATTGCGACGATAGATTGAGGACGACAGAGGGAATAAAGTACAGGCAGAAACTAGCACTTTGCACACGTGAATTACACAAATACTAATTTTATGATAACTTTTCTCATCAAAAACTGAATGTTTAAGCCCAGAAGTCTTGAAGTGGCCTATGCTCCAAGTATATTCAGCTTGCAATCAACTGCAGATCACCCCACGGAGGCGATAAGAAAGGAACGCGTTCCAAAATTACGGCGAAAACTGACTTCGGAAAAGGAAATGACAGATTATTCCAACAAGTCTGAGATGCAGATAAAAGAAACACTTTGAGAGCTAGATGAAAATGCCAAAATCTCAGCCGCTCTTATCCTAACGCGAAAATCGAATGAAGAAAAGGCAAAGTCTAGCAATTACTGAACGCATGAGACTGCAGCGCCTGACACGAAAATTGATCGACATGTAATAAAAAGTGGTACGAATGCTGTAAGGAGTTGAAAGGCTAGCTAACCAGGCTAAAGTGCTCAAGGCAAACGTTTCCCATTGAGTGCCCTATGAAAAACAGTTACTGCGGCAACGGAAAATCATAAGAGCCAGACTTTATGATGTTAGTGCACGCGCACCCCAAGTGTTTCTGCATGAAGTACATGTAAATTCATTACTTCGATTCTATGACAGATATATGAGATAAATTTGCAGTGTAATCATGCGAGACCCTGCATGCACTCTTGTGAAAAAAAAAACTTAATCAGGGGTTGAAGTGATTTTGGGACAGTTGCAGTGAAAACCTGGATCTTCACAGAAGTTTTTGCCTTCAAACTCCCTCTCTTCAATTAAGCATCTCTAATAGCAGACAGTACTGGCAACAAGGTTGTCTGCTAAATGGTAGCGCGTTTGCAAAAACCGGATTTCATCACAACAAGCGCCCACGAAGAGGTTCATGTCTTCAGCAGCAAAAACAAGTAGGCGCTGCATTGAATATAACAAAGGTTGTTGCTGCATTGCTTTGCACACAGACTATTCCAAAAAAGAAATCAGAACGCATCCGAAAACCCGAAACAACAGAGGGCCGAAAGAGACAATTGCACTATCATGGTTTGCTACTCCAGCTGACTAAATCTGCAATATTGCCCTTATCAAGCTAGTAAACACCTTAAGGCCCCGGTCAGACTTTACGCGACTTAATCGTCGCGATCTAACCGCCAAGATTTCCATTCATTTTCATTTCACATTCAAAAATTTCGGGCTGGAAAATATCACAACCGAATGCAAGTTGATCGGCATGGAATGATGTTGTAACAGTTGTCTTGTCGCGATTCAGTCGCGACAACCAAATCGCGTGAAGTCTGCCCGGGGCCTAAAGCACTATCGACGCTGGAAAGCAAACGCAGTTCAGATGTCTTTGACAAATCGTGAGAATGCCCATCCACACACTCTGAATGAGTGCGAACGAAAGGGCCCGAGAAATTCATGAATGGAGAGTGATACATCTTAGACAGGTTCAATTGCAACCTACAAACGTTTAAACAAAAACTGTCATGCTGATGCGAGTTGAACAAGTGCCAAAATAAGCAGGATATGTAAAGAATAAATGCTCATCCATAAAGAAGTACAACTCACAGGCCAGACATATCCCTCACCACTTGGATCCAACCGTCGTTTATGAGGTTCCGCTTCGTAAAACCTACAATTTGCACTAAAAGGTGTGCGCAGGAAAGCGAGAAAAAACTTACTTCCTGAGCTTGTGCTCCTTGTCATGCCATAACTTTTTCAACCATGCCGCGCTTTTTTCCGGATCAGATGGAATTTCACTAATATCGTATTTCTTCACATCGAAATGTACATTCTGTAAGGATAAAATGTCTTTGACGTCAAGACATAACTGGAAATTCCAAGTCACAAAAAGAAAGAGCAAAAATCAAAAAATACAATCATGCGAAAGATACCGATAAATTCAGAGGAAAAGTTGGCTTACCTTTGGGAACACTCCTTCCTTTAGTAAGCGCAGTTCCGTATCAATGATTACATCCTCGTATGCGACTGTGACGTCATACACATTCGAAATGTAGTCAGCTGAAAATGAATAAATATTAGAAAAACTGTTTATACTTATTCAGAAGTGCACTAACACCCTCGCATAATATCTAGAAGGTAATTGAAACCAGTGGTTCGTGGATGTAGCAGATAATCATACTGAGGAAGACCATTTTGTTTCGCGAACGCATGACTTTGTAACGCATTCCGTTCACTGCGATCCGTACCTTCTGGGAAGAGTAGGAGCTGAAAACTTTCTTAGGTTGGTTGCATGCGACTGCACCAGGAGAATGTGATTAACGGGCCATAAATGGGCCGATAGCCAGTTTGATAGCCGAAACCGAAATGATTGCAATGATTTAACATCGAAGCCAATCAGAAAATAGAAGATAGGAGAAAAATTACGCAGCTGAAGGCTCGATTTACAGCAGCATGTTGACAATACGTCGATATGTCACTTTGGCATAAGGATAAAACAGATATGAGTCAATTACAGAACTATATTCTTGCAATGCTGTCCAACATATGGTCGAATAATTGTAATTTTTGCAGAAAGAACAAAAAGGACTCCACAGAACGACCGGCATTAGCGAATGGACACGACTAATGCCATCAAATACGGTTTGGTTATGAAATTTGACGATATGGAAAGAAGGGAAGAAATTCTATAGACACTGACATGAACAAAAGTAACGTGACAAAGTGACTGTGACAAAGTCTCTGGAAAAACTTACTTGGTAATTGTTTCCAGATTCTTTGTAATATTCTATAGCAGAGGAGATTGCGCTTTTATCCGTCTCAAAGTTGCGCTCAAGAAAGATAAACGCTCCGCAACCCATAGCCCATCCTGCACCAGGAATTCGCTTTAGGGGAGCCTAAAAATCATACGCGTTGGCCAAAGGGGGCAGAGTGCTCAAGGAATCAAAGCTGGCGAAAATTATAAACCAGATACCTTCAGTGAGATTTTTTCTGTCGTTAGAAGCAATGGATCCATTTTGTACAGCGCATTCCATAGGAAAAGCCAATCCAATCTGGAAAGAGTGTTTAATGAAAAACCTTGAAACTTTCGGCGCTGACTTACCTAGTTCTATGATTCATTATAATTATAGCTGGTTTGTCCCGTAAAATCAAGTCACCGGTAACGTGAAAGTTTGTCCCGAACATATACTCAACAAGGGACTGAAAAGAACTGATAAGAGAAGAAAAAAGAATGACTAAGAGATACGCAAAAAGCAGAGGTGAGTGTCAGAATAGAGATACTAGCTTGCAAAAGCTTTAGATTCTGGTTACACTTCAAAAACAATGTTAAAATAGAAGTGGATCTCATCTTCTGAAACTGGATATAGCGATAGAAAAATAAAAGAAAACATTACGCCACAGCTTGTCAATTCAGTAAAAAAACGATTAAAACTAAGTAATGATCGTTAAACAACATTGATGCCAATCGAATCCAAAATTCATAGAGAAAACATATAGAAAAGTGAACCAACCGCTGGAAATGTAAGCCAGTACCCAACGAGCCTATCGGCACATACTCGCCAAAATTTCTTTCCATAGTAGGCGAAAGGTAGAAGAGGAAATAGCATGAATATAGATCCAAGAAAAGATGTTAGAAATATCAACAACACGAATATCACTCCATTTAGACGGCCAAACATAGCACCGACCGCTATGGCCACGAGGAATGAAGTTCAGCAACACTGGAAATGTAAATTTGCAGAAGAAAAAACAACAAAAACACTGCAAGACAAGAATGACAGCAAACAAGAGTGACATGAGATGTTGGCCGAACTTTGGATCCTAAGTTGTAAAGAGAGGTGTAACAATCAGTGATGCAAAAAGCTTCTGCTTGACAACAGTCGTAAAGGATCAGGGAAAGAGTGGTGAGACTGAAACTGTCTCAGTTTTGATAGTCAGATTTAGAAGACAGCCACAAAAATGTTCTGTGAGCTCCCTCAAACCAAAAGTCGTTCCTGTCGGGTCTCGGTACGTTCCCATTTCAACCACGATCTGCACCCTCAATCAGCTTTCATAGCACGTCTCGAAAATAATCGGATTGAATCTTATTAATGGATTGTTCAAACAGACGAGAGAAAGGGCATTTCAGGCAGCAGGAGATGACCACTGATCAAATTTCGAGACTCCAAAGCGCGTGTAGTGTGGTTGCACAAGGTTGTAACCTCGCTGAATCCACTATGAACTACGCAAGTGAAGAGCCAATGGATACGAACAATGATAAGCGCTATGACTCGAAAGAAGAAATTTCTCTAAATTCATATTATATATAAATGATAATTTTTACGTTGCAAGAAATATCTCAAAAGTGGAAGAAACGGATAAATAATTTGATAAGGTGTTGCGAAAATAGTTCAAAAGCGCGGGGATAAAAGCTTTGCAGAAAGTGGAAATGTGTAACCCCAACGATGCACTAATTGCGCAGGCACGCATTACACTGTCACAGTCTTCCCCGACATCAAGGAATTACTTCAAAAACAAGGAAACCCAAAAAGAAAACAATTATGACGCACAAATGGACGTCTAAATAGAGAGGAACTGAGCACTAACCACAAATGTGATGTAAATGGAAAGCGGAGTGAGACGAAAAAAGAACGACGACCTTGAAAAGACCAGAACGGGTTCACTCTCGTCACTATGCGAACCTGCCAAATGCAAAATCGGTTTTCACTTCGCGTCACGTCCGTTGTTCTGCAGTCTCGACACTCAAACTTTACGCCTAATTCTTGATTCTTTTTGTATGCGCAGCAATTTTGCAAGAAGCTTCTTCACTACTTCAATTCGCCTATCTTCAACATCGAGAATTTTTTCAACGTCAAGTAAGGCGAGTTTGCTAGTTGTCTAGTTTTCCGCTTTGAATCAGCTTGATTACAGACTTACAAGGCTATATTTCATCCGCCGTTTGAAAGTTGCAACTTTACCTCTTTAATAACTTCATCATTGGCCATTCTATCAGCTTGATTACAGACTTACAAGGCTGTACTTCATCCGCCGTTCAAAAGTTGCAACTTTGCCTCTTCAATGGCTTCCTTAGCCATCGGTTCGCAGAATGGAACATGTCACTCTACATCTGCAAAGACAGTATTGGAAATTCCAGAAGCGGTGCGAGGGATGAAGGAGTTGCAGAAGGACTTGTTTCAGTAAGTGTGCATTACCACATGTAGAGATCATGTGATTGTTAAGACAGGTTAAGTTTAAAGGTTTTCTTGAAATAAGCGGTAAATATCTTGCATGGAGCATCCACGTGTGTATTTCTAACAGCGACTTTGGTATTGTCTGAGAATTAGCACGGGTACTCAGACTTTCGTTGCGTACCAGCGGCGTACCTAAATGGCTTTGCGTACCAGCGGAGTGCGATCAACGTACCAACGGCGTTCCTTAATGCGCCCTACCAGCGGCGTACCGTCTTTTGGCGAGCGGCGTTCCATCAACCCAAGCAAGCGAGCGGCGTCCCATCACATTACCCCACGCTGTAAGCGTAAGCCGTACTCGCATGGGATACGACGCAGTGGTTGGGCCGCCTCAGCATTTTAGTGGTTAGCTAACACTTCTTGGCACTTGACAGAGGAATAAGATTGAGTTGTTGTTCTTACTGAGTGACTTGATAACACCTCAGCTGGGTGTTGTAGGGGTGGCCCACAATCCCCCGATTTCGATTCAATGAAGTCCATCGATCGAAATAGCAGGAAATTTTGCGTTGATTTCGGCTTCATAAAATATGAGATATAGCAATTTTCAAACCAACTAATGCTGCAATTAGTACGTAATCAAAAATCGGGTGAACTTGCGGTCCGAAGGCGTACCCTCTTGGCGTACCAGCGGCGTACCATCCTCCTGCCAGCGGAGTTCCACAGCGTACCAGCGGCGTGCGACTGCCCTACCAGCGGCGTTTGCGTGCTGCGCTGAGAGGACAGTCGAACGCCGCTGGTACGCAACGAAAGTCGGAGTAGTATGAGTAGTAGCCGCAGATTTTTTCATCTATTAAATCTTACTTGGAATGACGCGCCTATGGACAGTTTCAGATTGTTTTGGTCTAATATGCAAATTTTGTTTCAATTCAGGACAACGATCACTCTAAGTGCATTGAAGGTTGAGGCGTCAAAGATCTCTATCATACAACGCAAAGTCAGATTGGAGAAGTACCTGTTCAAAAATTTAGGAAGAATAAAAGTAGGTTAATCCCAAGAATTTGTACAGGATGCCAGGGAAATGACTGTTTATGTTCGCTTGGTTAACTACTTGTTCAGTTTTCAGAGCATAGCAAACGCGGAAGACGCCAAGCACAAGTTGTTGTTATTTGAGCCTACCTTGGTCAATGACGAAAGCAGTGAATTGAAACAAAAAATAGAGGAAATGATTAGAGAATACGCAGGAGGTGAGCCTTCAAGCTTCTTTAGACATTTGCTCTTAGCGTTATTTTATCACGTTGTTTTCAATTACGATCTCTTTCTCATGATTGAAGACCGTCCCATTTTGTATTTAGAATAGGTACAGAACCGCTGCCCGGCCTACGATTTGGGCTAAGACTTTGACTGCGCTGTGTATCAGAGTCATCCTTGTATTTTCATCGATCGGAACAACGTATTGTGCTCTCATCATTCATTCCATTACACCATCCCCTTGAGTACTGTGGAATTTTCCGCACTGTTTTGATACTTAGAAATGACACAATCCATATAATTTGAAAATAATTGGAGTCGTTGTACGCATCATAGATCGAAGCAGTTATTTTGCCCTGTAATTATTTTTATCGTTGGAATTCTCGTAGTGTCTGTTACAGAAACCGATTTACTGTGGGAGACGCGAACGTTTCCGATAACATTTGAAGATTGGGACCTGAGACGAATATTAAGAGCTGTGTTACCAAAAGATTTGGACTTTAGGTAACTTGTTAACCTTTCGCTCCTTATCAGTTTGTTCATGCTTCTACTTTGCAGCAGTTATAGTCAAGCAGGGCATATAGTTCACGTTAATCTGAGGGAAAACCTTTTGCCTTTCAAGAAGGTCATCGGGCAGATTCTGCTTGAAAAGGTTGGGAAATGCAGGTAATATCACAAAATCTCATTCACGATCGCATATTTCAATTCAGGACTGTTGTAAATAAAATTGACGGCATAAGCAGTGAATATAGAAACTTCGAGTTAGACTTATTGGCTGGTGAGCACAACTATGTGACAGAATTGATAGAGGATGGTGTGAGGTATAAGTTGGATTTTTCCAAGGTATAAAGTTGGTTGGCTTTATTCGAGAGATAAAGTCTACCCAAAGCTTGTAGGTATTCTGGAATTCACGGCTTAGTCACGAACACGAACGAGTAGTGAAGATGTTTGAATCGAGGTCATTAGGTATAATTTTCATTATTTTCTACTCGAGCACATTATCTGCGGTCTTGATCTGTGGTTTTGATAGCTAGCGTTTAGTCTATGACGCTTGTGCTGGAGTAGGCCCATTTGTCTTGCCTGCTATCAAGAAAGGGCGAATTCGTCATGCGTTCGCGAATGATCTGAATCCGGAGAGCGTGAAGTGGATGAATGAAAACATAGCTCTGAATAAGGTATGTAGATACCATTTGAGTGCTTTTACAAGTTTTTCTCATTTTCTCGCTTTAGATCCCCTCCGAAAAAATCAGCATTTTCAACTTAGACGCTGCTGATTTTATTCGTGGTCCCGTTGCTGATGATTTGAACAATGTGGGTCCTCAACTTTTCTTGTTTTTCGCCATTTAGTCCTCGATACTTGTTATAAGACCCCTTACGTGCATTTTGTCTCTTTTTCATCTGAAGCGTTATACCTGTAGATATCACTTTTTTCTAGAAAATCACCAACACCAATGCAGAGGAAGCCCAGCCGTCTGGCGCTTACGTTATGATGAATCTGCCTGCATATGCGGTCAACTTCCTTCCTGCTTTTCGTGGAATGTTAGCTAATTTAGCATGTTCCAAAACTCTTCCCGTGTTCCCTATAAAGGTGTTTTGTTATCTGTTTGCAAAGGTAAACAAAGTTCTCCTTCGCTCTCGCACAATCAGGGTTTGCCTTTGTTCTAGGCTCATGAGGACGTGCCTGACAAGTGGTATGAGCAGCAAGCTCAAAGGATGGTCCGAGATCTTGTCAAAGAAGAGGAAGCTGCTATAGATCTGATTCACCATGTGAGTTTTTTAAAGTGTCAAATTTTTTATGGAAGAGGTGGATAAATATTCTCTAGGTACGCACGGTTTCATCTCGAAAAGAGATGTTTTGTGTGCAGTTGACTCTGTCTTGGGACTTCCTTACACATAAAGAGAGTGGTGAGAAGAGGAGTTTGGATGAAAGTGAAGAGAATGTGACTAATTCGAAAAAGATCAAGTTGGACTGAATTGTAGTCATATGTCCCGCATTTCTAAGAAGACGTTTTTAGTTTGCTTTCAATGTCATCATCCTTGTATGGTTTGATTTTGTTGATTTTTTAATTCGTTATTTACTGTTTTGTTGATTGTTACGCTCTAAATTACGGGTCATTACATTATTTCTTTGCTGCCTGTAATAAATGAAAAATTTTGTTTGACTTGTGTTGCGATGCAGTTCTGATTTTTCAGAGAGCTTTTGCTCAACTTTCTTGTCAGACAAGTTCGGGTTTTTTGATGATTTCTAACTGGATTTTGGCTTCATTTTTTCCATGAGTCTTTATGCATCGTATATATAGAGCTGTTGCAGTAAAACTGGAAGAATTCTGTAAACACGCTTCACTAGGTTCTTAGAGGAGGACATAGGTACGTGCATCTATTTTCGATGCTCTCATCCGTACACTGCTTACGACGAGCTATACTACTGAACAGAGAATGGATCTCCTTCACGGTGAGTCCACTAGTTGTTCACTGTGAGTCACTAATCCACTCAATTTAGGGTTACCCAATTACGGTAACTCAAACGAGATCTTCCAGGATGATGCCGGCTTTCAAGATTTATAGTTTACGACGTAGATTAGCAGAATTCTTATCGAATAAGTGAGTATTATTAAATTTACACCTTTTTAAGTCAGAGAAATTTCCAGGTTTGATGAAAAGCGGGTAAATGAGATTGGTCCAGATCTAGCCTGTCTTGAATGGCTGATGGAATGTGGTTCAACGGAGGTAGTCATCATTTTGATGGTTTCGCTCGTCATGATGCTTTTGTAGGTATTGATGAGCGACGAACAGCGAATAACTTCAATACATCAAATGAAGAAATACATCAAGAAAAAGTTAGAGGAGAAGGTAATTTATAAGAGGTTACTCGTGAAGAGTGAACATTCTTTACCATTGAAATTGGCATGATTTTTAATCTTCACTCTACCGGATGTTTACTTCTGGGCGGAAGTGAAGTTTCATATTTTTCTAGCATATGATGTGACGCTGCGTGCTGTAAAGTTACGGTAATGCGCTGCGTTATTGCTTTTGTTTTAAAAATCCCGACAAAAAAAGTGCATTTTTTTCGGAAATAAAGAGAATGTGTTGTAAATATTTGACTTTTGATGGTCCGTCTCAGAAAATGATAAACTTCTCTCATCTCAAAGTATCTTTCAGGGCAGCACTGTACCAGTTAGCACAATAGGAAGCGAATTGGAGTATGAGCTGAAATGGAAGCATGTCCCTCATGTACATATCGTCAAGGTAGGTGTGCGACCTCGCTTTGTAACATCCTTTCCTCAGCTTCATTTTGCTAGGTTGACGCTAGTGATTCAGCCATCGCTGACGAAGGTTTCAAATATTTCCATGATCTCAAGCGGCTGGAAGCGCTGAAGTTGAATTTTTGCGACTATTTTGGTGACGAAGCGATTAGAGAATTGGCTCTAGGACGCCCAGCAGCAACACTTCGTGATATAGTTGGTTCACATGCAATAAGTAATTTTCTCTAGTTTGGATTTTTTGATTCAGGAAATCGTGCTAAATCCCTCTATCAGTGATGGCGCTGTTTATTGGCTGAGTCGATTGAAGGCATTGCATCGAGCACATTTCTACTTTCTACCATACGTTTCTAATAGGCATTCCTTTATTCGGCAGCTGAAATTGGCAGTGCCCAGGTAAGGACTATCATCAAAATATAATTCTTATTGAGATCACCTCGCTTGCAGGTGCAAAGTTACATTTCCTGAAGCAGTCCACGTCGGGTACGGTTACGAAGATGAAACAAAAACAAAGAAGAGTTAGAAACCGAAGTGATTTTGAGTGGCTACCTCGATATGATTGTCGATTGTTGTTTTGGAGCTTTATTTGTAGCCAATTTAATCACTGCTCAATGCTCAACGACAATTGTTAGGTGTGGTCGATAGGATGTGTCGAGCCTGCGCTGCAACCTGTGCAATTTGAGATGTTTGGATGAGTATCCTGTCGAAAAAAAAAACCCTTTAGGTAGGTATAGGACCTAGGTTAGATATGTGACTCATAGCACTACTGGAATAAATGCCATCGCTCATCATAGTAGTATTACTGCTGTTGCATGGGGCTTTGCAGGGACTGCCATATAATTTCCCCTGAATCCCGTGATTTTGAACTTGAGTGAAATACCCAGGAGTCTCATCGTCCACTATTGCAATAGGACTTGTGCAGTGTCTGGCCGAGTAGATTTTATATTTATATTTATATAAGTACATTACACAATTGCAATTTGCCATATCAAAAAAGAAACCCATAGTTGGAAAAGAGGTAAGATATGAAAGATATGTATTGTACTGAGGAAATTCTAAGCTTTGGTTTCATACCGCTAAATTGTCTAAGTCTAATGGTAGTTTACATAATTATGACTCTTACAGATTACCAAGAGATCCAATCGCATATATACAGGGGTCCCAAAAAATGTACCAAACGTTTGATCTTTGAAGGCACCCTCCGCCCAGATTCTCGAATCCCAGGTTTTTGTCGTTTCAGGTCCTTTTCATGTCCCTGATTCCAAATATGAAGTCGGGAATCCGTGAAAACCCCGACAACCCCCGTTCCGGAGAACTCAGACGCGGCTTTCCGGGGCGGTGATTGGATGGACGCGCACGGATGGGCGGGCATGGATGGGGAGGGCGATGCCGTCTGGGGGTTCTCGTGCATCTTCGTTACCGGAGCGATTTTCTCGCATCCGAAGCGATATTTTGCGCCGCGACTTGGGCATTGGCTTGATCGGAGGTCCTACTATCATATGCTGCTAAATGCTCGAGACCTTCAGTTTAGGGTGAACGGTGCCTTTAATATCTTCCTTATATGGAAAGCTTTCGCGGATCTTTGGGTGCTATAGGGTAGGGCTAGCTTTAACTTCACAGTATAGAGCAAATCACCGATTTCTCTTAGCAGGGAAGGATACTTGGTGACCCCGGCCAATCAAAGGTTTGTATATCAAAAAATGCGCCTTTTAGTGCTGGTTCGAATACTCTTTTCCATATCTGCGAAACGAGAACTTGGATGGAGTTTTGATTTTTTTTCAAGAATGACTTGCTCTGCTGCGGAGCGTGAAAATTATTAATGAAATTTTTCTTTTCTCTTTAAATGCTGAATGTGATTTAGATAGGCATAAATACAACGTACACCTTTCAAGACTCTCCTCAATAGCTTCAAACGGTAAAATAGACCAAATTGGTTGATTTTAACTACCTAAAAGTAGGCAAATTTTTTACGAAGAAAGTTCATAACTGCCTTCATGCGATCGTTTCGCAGATTTCGAGCACAGGTTTAGAATCAGCGTTTCGAGATGCACCTTATGGTATACATCGCATACCAAATGGCCGGGGTCACCAAGTATCCTTTCCTTGTCAGTCACTGCTACGCTAGGAATTTTCGTCTAATTTTTAGTTTCTAACAGAGGAGACTTAGTTCTAGAAAATTTTTAAAAAATTAAAAGACATCGAACTAAGGTTTTCAAGGATGATGAATCCAATCGTCAAAGTGCTCCGCTAGCGTGCTCTTCGGCTTTTACGGTATGCGCATTGTAACGCTGAGTTTTTGATTTTTTTTAAGTTAACGTTGCTTGTCAAGCAAAGTTCAGTTGAACTTCAGAGACTTCCTTATTTTTTATTGATTGCAGATAATGAGTGCAGAAATTACAAAATCAGTTTTTCAAAACAGTTAATGATGTGATTTTATATGATTGATTTAATTAATTGATTTCGACGTGTTTGTAACCGAAAGTAACTTTGGAAAGAAGTCAAAGATTCAACGTTACAGTGCGCATACTGAAAGAAGTTGGAGAGCACGGTAGGGAAAACTTTGTGATTAGGTTCAGCATCTCCGAAAACCTTAGATCTCCTTCGGTTTTTCCGGAATTTTTAGAAGTACTTCTCTCTGTCAGAAGCCAAAATTAATCGAAGATTGCTACCGTAATCCTACAGTAACTAAGAGGAATCGGTGATTTGCTCTACACTGTAAATCTAAGCTGAAGCTAGCCCTACGGTGTGACACCCATAGATCCGCGAAATCATTCCATGTAAGGAGGTAATTAAAGATAACGTTCATTAATTTTTTGGAACACCTTGTATCTATCGGCATGAATGGTACTTTTGCTCTGCACAGCAGAGTAGGATGAAGTACTTCATGTAACTAACACATTAACGACCGCTTGACACACATTGTGTGTCAAGGTGGTGTGTCGTTGAAATGGCTACTATTTTGTGTTAAACCCACTCCAGGGGTTTTCTTTTGTACTGGATCTAAACACAACATCTACTGTTTTGGTTAGCATTCCAGCGTTACTGTAGGTGCACTGTAGATGGAATTGTGCATGGTTTTATCCAAAAAATGTTGAATGGTCCGTGAAACGTCTTGGTCGTCAATGTGTTTATCATTTTCGGGTGGCTGCAACCTATCCAATGTCCATTTGTCGATCGATTTATCCATCCATCCATCAGTCCATCAATTCATCGTATACATACATGCTTACCAGTGGCGTACCCAGAATTTTCTTCCGGGGGGGGGGGGGGAGGAATGTTAGGGGCGTGACAATAATTGTTTTCGGATGAAGGTGTGTGGCAATAGCCATGCACTCCGAAAATTTTTTTGAAATGCTTTCTAAAATTTTGAGGCCCATAACTCCAAAATGTCAGGGAAAAGAGCATGGAACAACCACGAATACTTTTTTTTTTGAGTTCTTCATGACACAAGTAAGTAACTTTCGAAATTTTCGTTCTAGGAAGCTTTTCCCATTCTCGGAAGCATACATAAATTGCTTATTTCCTTCATTCACCTGCGTTGAGAGCGAAATGCAGATCGATATCTATGAGGGGTTTCAAAAGTAAGTACACATTTTTCAATCGTTAATATATCTCTTCCCCTGTGTCTTTTTCCACCATTCAAATACCATTCTGTAGAGGAGGCTTCAACTTAGATTTTTACAATAAGGAAAGAATCACCGATCTCTTCGGCACTGTAGGATCACTGTAGGAACTTCGACAAGGATTTCAGCCTTTATAAGCGGTATTCTGCTGGATTTTTGCTTCAGAAAGAAAGCCAAACAAGCCAGAAACTCTTAGAGTGGGCTAATCGAAGTCGGACCCTAAATGTGAAATTTCTACTTCTGTATAATTGTACTTATATATTTGTACTTCAGTATATTTACAAAACGTGAGGAGCGCTTGAGAACATGTAGCTTGAAAATGCAGAAGCGGGCACCTCAAAAAGAGAACAAAAACAAATTAACTACTCAAAGGTAAAAAGCTTCCACAATGAGACGAATTTGCTCGAAAGGGACGAAGGGGAGTTTGTAAAATTTTAGGAAGGCGAGAAGGAACTTCGTTTCCCAAAAAGTTTGAAAACGGTCATGTCGGGCCTGATCTCGACGCAACTTTCGCCTTCTCAATAGCATTAGAGCTTGAGGCCTTGAAGGAACTTGACGCACCTGTTCTTTACAAAACGGATGCTTTTATAATAAAAATTACTTAGTAGAAAATAAGTATAGGGCATTCGAAAAATCGTGACGATCGCGCGACCGCGCGCGACACGCACGCACACCTATTTCTTGGTCCCTATCTCTACCCAAATGCTTCTTCTGCTTACTTATGACGGTTTTCTAACACTAGAAGTGACTGAGCTGAGCGTTGAGGTAATGCCTGGTTGTATGGTTGTTTTATGCGCCTGTGTGCGCAAAGACCGCAGACAAACTCGTCGTCACGATTTTAAAAGTGAACCATAAGTGAATAGGAATTTGTGAGAAAAAAGAATACACTTACAAGTGAACATAACTAATTGGACAAAAAATTAATCAAAGAACTTACATCAAGTAGTTCTAAAGAAGATCTATCTTAAGGATATGGGTTATGTCAACATAGTCAGCTAGTCCGCGCTGGCATGTCAATGATGTTTTACTGCTGCCATAGACGGGCTGGGTCCGAAAAAACATATGTGATTTGAAAAGTTATACAACCAAATATTCTCAAGAACATGTAAGCGTGAGCAAGTACGATTATTGTTGGCCTTGATTTAACATAGGAATAAATTGTGACTGTAGATTTGAAACATTAATATTGTGATGATGAAATAGGACGTAGCCATTATGAAAACTTATGTATTCATTGCGTAAATGCTGGAGACCTTTACAAAAACCTATTTTGAGACTTGATTACTAATAAACTACACATTCCGGATGTGCTTCCAAATGTAGGGGCTGAGACAAAAACCTTCACTGCCAAGTTTTGACAAGTATCGAACAATTTACTCAACCTCTCAGTTTCCGTTTCGCTGAGTTTCTTCACGACTGATTCGGATGCTCTTATCATTTTCTATGTTGTACTGCAAGACCTGGTTTGTCCTTCAAAGACAAAGCATTTCCATGGGTTACAGACAGGGTAAAGCGGGGGGTGCGGCACTCGACCGTCGGATACGACCCCCCCCCCTGTTTGCTGTCTTAATAAGACCCCCCTCCTAAACTATACACTTAAGATAGTATTACCTGAAGGCTCTGTCAAACATAATGGACAACAAATCCATAATTAGCATGTCAAATACCCCCTGTAGACAAAGTGTGAGCGAATTCTGAAGATTCAAGATACTAGGCTACCTAAGTGAAATGGTCAAATTCCAACATGGTTAACTTTGTTTTAAAGGTGAATTAGCTATCCGTTTTTGCACTCAAGACAAAGCACTACTCCTTCTTTGTCCACCTCAGGAATCCCGCTTCAGAAGACCTCCAAACTGTGGAATTAGAGGCCAACCAAAATCTCATTTTTCCCATTTTTCGCTTTTGATGGCTGTGCTTTCACCAAATATTACTCAGAGCTAAGAAGACGAATCAGGCTCAAAACATCCCTATGGAATCTACGAGGTTTAGGCTATCGATTCATATAAATATTGTCCGCTAAAAATGTTTTTTTGATATAGTTAATGGCCTGCGGCACCCCTGCGGCACCCCTGCGGCAGCCGCAGGTTTTGAGGGGGGGGGGTGCCGCAGGCCATTAACTATATCAAAAAAACATTTTTAGCGGACAATATTTATATGAATCGATAGCCTAAACCTCGTAGATTCCATAGGGATGT